TAAAGGCACTCCGCTTCGCGTCGTGCCATTAAACTCGTTGCGCGTGCTTTAAAGACTTGATTATACACTTGTATCTTAATATACTATTTTTAGTTTGTACGTCACCGCAATTAAAAATCAAAATTTAGATTATAACATGTCAAAAATGAAGTGCTGCGGTGTTAAGAACACAGATTTAAAAGAATCAGGTTATTTAAATAGGGGATGTACTTAGCAACATTTTCGTGTTTCAGTTTGTCCTTAATTAGTAGAACTGATTTTGTTGAGTTTAGTGAGTTTAGGTACATGCATCCTAATTAAACAAAACTAACCCTTAGCCTTATTAGTTCAGCCTCTCCAAGGGAAAGATCCTTACCATTCATCCCATACATATTTTTTGATTATTTTTGATTTATTTTTAACTCTATTGTACTCTGGCAAGTTGTAAAATGTTGTTTTTGCTCTGAAATTGGAAAGGTTATGTCTTTCTGTTGAGCAAATAAAGGATTATTATTATTATTATCTTATATACCATTGAAACAACGCAACATACACCGCGCGCCGCTTACACTTTCGCTATTTAATGAACGAAAAATTGTAAGTTGACGCGATAAAAGGTATAGAGATCAGCGTCTGCATTACTTTTTAGCGCATTTCCACAAAAAAAAAAAAAATGCGCTATTGTGGCCACTTTGTCCGTCCGTCCGTCCGTCCGTCCGCTAACTTTGCGACGCTACTAGTTTTTTATCTTAAGAGCTATTGTTCTACTTTTTTCGCTATTTGGTTCGTTATGGTGTCGAGTCTTGTACCAAGGAAGGAATTTTTTCTGTACCGCTTACAAAAAAAGTTATTGTAAAAAAAACAAAAAACCGTTTTTTACATGTTCCATAATTTTACACTTTTGCCGTTTATTAACGATCCTAGAGATCGTTTATAATTTTGCATTGCTATCTGTCGCCTGCCGGTTGGTCTCTCCGTCTGTTCCTTTGTCTGTCTGTCCATCTATCTGTCCGTGTGAACGATAACTTTGTTTAGAAATGTTCGATCGCGTTTACATCTCCGTTAGTTATGAACTGAATTGCATGAAATTCAATATGGGCATAGATTTAGCCATATAATACGCAATGCCAAAAGTTGGATCGAATCGATTCAAAATTCACAGTGCCCTTTTCGCATCTCGACCATTTATAAACCGAATTGCAAACTTTTTTACTTATAAAAGTATTTGAATGAAATTTGATACATAGGCACTTGGAATAAAGGAAAATCAAACGCCAATTTCAAAATTTGGTTTTGCGCATGCGCAGTGCCAACTTTTTTATTTATGGAAGAATTTAAACGAAATTTGATACATAGGCACTTCGATAAAGGAAAATCAAACGCCAATTTCAAAATTTGGTTTTGCGCATGCGCAGTGCCAACTTTTTTATTTATGGAAGAATTTAAACGAAATTTATCCATAGGCACTTGGGATAAAGGAAAATCAAACGCCAAATTTCAAAATTTGGTTTTGCGCATGCGCAGTGCCAACTTTTTTATTTATGGAAGAATTTAAATGAAATGTGATACATAGGCACTTGGAATAAAGGAAAATCTAGCGCCAGTTTCAAAATTTTATTTTGCGCATGCGCCGTGCCAACTTTTTTATCTATGGAACTATTTAAGTGAAATTTGATACTTAGGCGCTTGGAACAAAGGAAAATCTTAGTTTATTAGTTAGTTATAGTAAATTAGTTTTAAAATTTAGGTTTGCGCATGCGCAGTTCCAACTTTCTTATTTAGAAAAGCATTGAAATGAAATTCTTCTCATAAACTGAAATTGAAGTAGCACGTCAACAATGGATTGCCCATGTGCAACGCTATCTTTCATATTTGTGGGCGGATTTTTACGATTTTAACAGAAGTTGCATCTTACAAATGGGAAATGAATGCAAGTGGAAATGCGCTTTATGTAAATCGTTTACGATTAATTTTTAACTTGTTAATCTTTATTCGTATAGTCACCAACACCTTAATTGAAAAGTAAATCTTAGTAAATAAAAACACCTGTCATTGATGACTAGGCGATTCTTCTAGAACCCCCCAAATTATTTTTTAAATGTCGTGTTTAACTCCTCAAAACGCATTTTTATGGGTCTAGCATCCAAGACGGCCAATCTTGCATTCTAAATGGGAACAGTATTCAAGATATCACGGCTACCACCCGGACAACTAACTGGCAGTCGTCGTAGAAAGCGTATGACTTGCCTAAAACTGCAAAATAGTTATTTACCTAACAAGTTCGGTAAGTTAATTTTCCCGCATGAGCACTTTGTTTGCAGCACGACCGTAGGGAGTGCTGCATTTAGTGCGAATGCGGGAAAATTCTTTCCGAAAGAGTTAGGTACAATATTTTTTGTAACGAATTGCGTAAAAAAGGTCAAAATTAATAAAGTTTTGTAAATTAGCTTTTTTTAAATCATGAGTTGGTAACACAATCATATGTTTGGTTGGTAACATAATTTTGTAACTACCCACTTTTAATAATGCACTGGTCACATTTAAAACTTCCACATCTTTGGTTAATACATATTTTGCCTTTGCAATGAGTGCTACTGGTCACGGCATTGCATCGTTTGCACTGAATATCTTGAGTTGCGTAAATACACTCGTTACATTTAAAATCCTTGGAAGCTTTGTGTGTGTTAATATGTGCTTTCTTAAACTGCATATGCGAATAGTTGCAGAATATCACTGGTCACATTTTAAGACGTTTTAACAATAAATTTTACTTTTTCTTGAGTTCCAATTCTGAAAAATAATTTGATTGCGTTATAAGTTCTTGTTTATATATTTACGTAAAACTTAGTGTACGTCTGTTTCCGATTAATCGCACTAAATAGGTACTCTCAACCAACGGTTTAATTGATTTTACAGCAGATGACAGTTAACCATGACATGACGTTCGTTGACTTCAATAAGTACTACCAACCGAAGAACGCGCATAACCCCTTCTCTCCAGCGGAAACTAAAAAACACCGCGATGCGGGAAAGTCGTTTTCCCGTGCATCGAGGATGCTTGGAAACATTATCTTTCCATTCAATGAGTACAAAAAATTTATTACATGGCAGCTGTCGATTCCACCTTTTTAGCGCATTTTTCAACTCATGTTGGAAGGCGCTGTTATGGCCACTTTCTCCGTCCGCCCGAGGCCTTAATTATTCCTGCAGTTTTCAAGATATTTAGTTCGCTCTTTTTGAATTCGTTAGCTTATTGCTCGGGTGCTTGTGCAGACTTTCAACTTTCTGATTTATACAAATTTTTTTAAAATTTTAACCAAAGATTCTTCTAGTAAAGACAACATATATCATATTGTAAAAATCAGATGTGCGCATGCGCAAACTGGGCAATTATTAGAGATACTTTTTGGAAATTTTAACCATAGATAAAGCCAAGCATATAGTAAACAGAATATTTGTAGATCTTTTTTTGAAATTTTAACCGAAGTTGCTTCTAATAAAGGCAAACATATCGCATGTTTTAAACATCAGCTGTGCGCAACCCAAGAAATCAGAAGAAACCGAACTATCTGAAAAAATAGAACAAGATAAAGGATGCGAAAGATCCGACGAATGTTAAGAAAATGAATGTAATGAATCCAAAAAGTGTAAACAATCTGAATCCGTACCTATAATCTGAACATTTGGAAGTGATACGATGAAGTGAAAGCAAGCAAACCTAAGAATCAGGTGAATCTGAAAAATTTTAAGAATCGGAAAAACGAAATTCAAAAGATCTTAAAAATTGGAAGATTCTAGCAGTTTTAAAGAACTTAAAGTCTATGAAGAACTCAAGAATTATTAACAGAATACGTGGAAAGGATTTCGAAGGATATCAAGAATTCTGATATTTCGAATCATTTATAGAATTTAAATCTTTTAAAAGTCTTTACTAAATAAGAATTTAAGAATTTAAAGATGTGAAGTGTGAATCTAAATACTCGTAACAAGAGAAATCTTAAGCATTGGAACTAGTGTGTAGGATCTGAAAAATCAAAATAATTTGAATTTTTAGATAAAATCCAAGATGAGAATCTGAGGTATTTAGACATGAAGGATCAGAAGTACCTATACGAAACGCCTAAAAGATCGGTGTAATTCAGGATATGAAGCACCGGAAAGAGTGAAAAAATCTGAACAATGCAAAATCCGAAGTATCTGAAAAATGTGATGTCTAAAGAAACCAAAAAATCGGAAAACTTTGAAGAACTGAAATAATTTCCTCGCTGAAAATGAAAATTTAGAAACTTCAATAAAGATACATTTTTTGTGTCTTAAGAAGCCAAGGAAGCTAACCTTTGTTATTATATAAAATACCATCATACGTTAGTTTGCTCGGGTGGGAGTTGGAGAGAGATGCTTCTATCTTTTATGGTACTCCAAGGAAAGCACTCGACAGCACGAATTTTATCAACTTCAGTCCCATCCTCGATTGAGACCGGTTATATGAATATCTCATATGTTTCGGAAAAAGTGATTATAAAAGGAAAATGAAAGGTCTGGATGAGACTATATATCTCTTGGAGGTGTCGAAACTGTAAGAACGCGTATCTGGAACGAAGTATCAGAAGATGTCCCACTCATTGGAGAATGTTTGTTACAGCAGATCATGTTTTTAGCATAATCTCAATCAAATAAGGCATCAAACAGCTTTCTACGACTGAGTGCTGAGATTTCGTCAATCATTTGAACGGGTGTATATAAATAATAATAATATTAATAGAAGTCCTACAAAAACTAAGAACAATGAACAAAATCCTAAAAATAAACAACTGCAATGAAATAGATAAAATTTCAAGTTGAAACAATTGTAAGACTATTGTAACCACCACATAAATACTATAATAGCTAATTAACTGTAGCTAGTTACGGTGCACATAATACCCTTTTGTCATAAATCAAGTTAAATAGCGTATGATCACTGTGACACTTTATTAGGTAATAAATTTTACGTCTCAGATGATTTACAAAACCATAAACAAGTAGTTGCACTTGACACTTTAGCATTGTGTTTATGTCCATGGACGTTAGTAACGCAGTTGATTGATATGTTCCAAGTGAGCTTTGCTTTAATACCCAATTGTAGAAAATGGGATTCATCATCCGTGCGTTTCAATTGGAGTGCAAATCGTGTGTATTAACTAGATGATAAATTTATCGAACACTTACCTTTTAGGAATCGTATGGTACTAGATGTACTTAGTTACACGTCCACACGCTTTACAATGTTAGAACCTCACTAATTAAGTTAGAACCGAACGCATGCCGATAAGATAAACTTTAAAATTTGCCGCTCTAGAGTTATCGCATTGTATTATCTTCAGCCCAAATTCGAAAATGACTTTGTGATTGGTTCATGATATTGCGGAAATGTAACCTCTATCAGATAAATTGAACTGAAACTTGAGATCCCGTAACTCTTATCAATTATGCAGGGATAATCATGATGATATGGTTGCTACTATGGAAAACCTGTTTTAATCAAGAAATCAGCTTACCAATGCGACTAAGCCATCAACATAAAGGGGGTGTAATAATCTTATCCTTATACAACAGTTACAACGTAATACCAATATTTCAATATCGGATTACTTTTAGATGAACGTTTCTTCTGATATGAACACTATGCGATGCTTATTGCCCCAACGCGATCAAAATGGGCGTTGTCAAAATTTCCAACGCGCGAGATGCGAAATGGGATAATGCGATAGGTCGAGCTCTGGAGATGCTGATGAGAGTTCTAACGTCAAAAAATGATCCGTGGCTAAACCACTGCGATTTCTAGTAAGCGGACAAAGTTGAGATTTGAGGATTTTCTTTATCTCTCAATAAAAATTGCGACCGCGAAGTTATCTAAAAATAAGAGGCTTTTAACTAATTATTGTTTCTATGTGGATTGTGGATTGTGGATACCTATACGAAGTGGGTACCGCAGTCGCTTAAAATGCATGGCAACCATAGATTTGAAGATACACTTAAGCTAAGCTCAACTTGGGTATATTTGTAGGTACAAACTATTAAAGCCATGGCCGAAGTGGACAGCCTGTATACCGAGCAAAATTCCAGATCCCTTCTTACATTTAATTACAGTAATAATACCCATATAATCAAATCAAGTAAAAAAATACAGTGGAACAGAAGAATAGCATTATTTTCACTATCCGAGAATAAGTATCGACTTTGAATATACACAGCTATCGATAAGATCACCTTATTAATAATGACAATTTACTGCTATTTGGTCTTCGGGAACGTTATATAGAGAAAAAATGCTCTTGTCGTTTTCACATAAAATAAAACAAAGAAAAAAAAAGACTCGACAAAATAAATAAATGCATCGAAAAAACTAAAATACAGGAGCATTGTCAACACTGGTAATCTTGTAGGATTCACGCCGTGCGGCGCCGGCAACACTGACTGTGGACATTACTCAAAAAGGTTGGGGAATGCTGCTTTAATGTAAACCGAGCAGATCTGTTCACACGTAAACGTATTTTTCAAGCGGTTTGGAAGTGTGTTGTTGTCAAACTTCTTAAACATTATTTTGTGTCTTTAAAATGGATCTTCTCACTGTCAATTATCACGTTGTGCCGGGTGTAACAGGTGGTCGTTTAGCTGCTTTCAAACATTTGGTTTTGAATTTGTATTTTGTTAAACGTTACACATATACCGCTTCATCGCGAACATGAATAAAAGTATGTCTGGCGATAACAGAAACCGTATTGGGGAAAGCGAGCGTGATTGCCACGATCCATTTCCAACCTAAGAGTTTCGTTCCGTTCTGTTTAAAGCCGAGCACGTATTCGTTTAAAAAGGTGTGCTAATTTGTGTTTGTACTATGTTAGGTTCGCGAAATTTAATTTTTAGAGAAGTTACGAGTGCGAGCCAGTACCATTTTGGGTACGCTAATTTATTATTATGGTTGGTTCATTTTGCGTCAATACAAAGGTGTTCGTTTTAAGGAGCGTCCACGTACAATATCGATCTGTGAAACAATTATTTCGCGTTCGGCATTTTTAGCTGGGTTGCAAGAAATATCTTGCCATATATGTGAAGATTCGTGGTTCTAGTTCAAGAACCAGAACGCGGAAGTAGTCGATAAAATTTATTTAAGTCGCTGTAAAGATTAGCAGTTCAACTTCGAGTAAAAAACGTATCAAGTGGCGAGACTTCCTAAATTTCGAAAACGTCGTAGAGAAACGTTTAAACAAATTCGGGTTTGTTTCAAATTGTGTTACCTGCAATTTTACATGTGTGCGAATAGACGAATTACAGTGGATTGTGAGACGAGGAGAAACTTTTTACCAGACTGATTCGAACCAGGTTCTTCATTTATAAGTGATACAATTTACGTGAAGGAACATTTTCAAATAAAATAATCGGGATTAAATAAACTGAGCTTGAAACTCATCGCGATAAACAAAGAACTTTTTTCGGATCGCTAAATGTAACGGCTGGTTAAAAGCAAATTTCTTAAAGCTGAGTGACGTCTTCGGACAGCGCCTTGCGCGATCAATAAAATTTTGTATATAACGGCATACGCAGGGAATTTAAATTATTGATTCCTACCACTATGATTGCAGTGTCGTCAGCAACTGTTGCAATGGTAGTTTCTTCCATGTCTGTTATGCCTAGTACACTTCTGGAAAGCTGATTATATTTTTATTTCTCAATTGGTGGATGTAACGCGAGCTCTTAACAAATTGACGTCAGTGGGACATAAAAAGGAGCGTTACAAGCTTTTTGACGTAACACGTAACGTACCTAAAATTTGTTGTGTCTGAGGAAACCATGCTCAGCTCCGTTTTGCCTTAAATCAGTAGAATTTACTTTTTACTGGAAACGACGGTTTTAGCCTTAGGTACATATTTAAATGGCATTAAAATGTTTATATTATCTTAAAGGCTTATCTGTCTTAATTAGATTACTCTGCATTACGCAAAGTTATAATCTCCAGTTCATGTGGTTTTGATAATTTTACGAATGCGAATAGCGGGGTAAAAATAGATAGTAAACTATCTTGTATGACGTTTACGACTAAATAAGCAAAGGTATGGCAAAATATAAAACGGTTTTGCGGTTGTAAATATTAGTTTTGCTTGATGAATGAAGGAGAGTGGCCTAGTTATGTTTCAGTTTTCGAGAGTGATTTATGGAGCATCTCTATAGCTGTGACTATAGTGTATGGATTTAAAATATAATAAACGTTTGATCCAGATTAAAATATCTATTTTCTCTGTCATTGAAATTGCACAGACCATCAGTGGCAGTTTCACGAATTTCGATTTTTTTCCTTCCAATTCGTATAACTTAAGTGGAAGAAACAATTTAGTGAATTGTTTCACTTCCAGGAAGATCGGCCAACATGGAATCTAAACTTATCTTAAAATAAGCTTCTAGGTTTTCTAAGTTTGCTATCAATCTACGTACTCGATGGTCAGTGGCGTACTTTTGCATGGTCAAGAGCAATAGAAGTTCGAGCTATCAGAAGTGCCCCAAAAATTGAGTTCTAAAATAATTTGAGGATCCAATATTTGAAAATTACATATTTGGGGGGGGGGGGGGCGGAGGAGGGAGGGAGAAGCTGTAATTCTTTATTTTCAATTTGTTTTTCATTTCAAGTTTGACATTTAGTACCTATGGAACGTCGTTTAATCAATGAATTGAATACATACATACTGTTGTGTAAACAACGTCTTGTAGAGTCTACACGCTGGAAATGATGACGGAAGACACTGTATATGAAATCAGTTACGTTACTTACGAACACGCACAGAACTGGTTTATTTAAATTGTATATCTGTAGTCTTATATCTTTCTTTTTAGAATGTTTGTAATTGCGTAATAATTTATTTAAATCTATTTATTTTATAGCAGGTGTTAAATTGATATTTTAATAGGTGTGGATGAGTAGGCTCTTTAACCATTAGGGTAGATAAAGAGATCACTTTAACTTTAAAGTTAAAAGTTTAAACCGTTCGCACAGCCACCGATAATTCTTGTCACCGTTTTCAACATGCCAGTTCGTTTATGATCGAGTTTGTGTTAAAGATAAGCGAAGTTCTGAAGCGCGCCAGTTTATTACAAATTGGTTCACGACCGGATTTTAGACTTATTAGATTTTAATTATCGACCGACTGAGTACGGGGTACCACGTAAAGACGAGCTTCTCTTTAATTCAGAAATGTTGCTTTTATTTTCATCGGAATAAATCTTTGTCGTCGTCAATTAATTAAGTTTTTCTCTTCATATTCAAGATTTATTTCAGGTGTTGATAAAAATGTGCTTAATAGGTTATTTGAAATTTCGGAGTTGACCGAGACCACGGCGAGTCTCCTAAATTATTAATTTTAATCAATATTATGATTTTTCTTTGTAGGAGATGCTGGAAGTTTACGAGAAGAAATGATAAAAATTCTAAGTTTCAATTTTAATTTGTTTAGCTAAATAGGTGTTTTGTGGGTGGTGTAGTACAAGGGTCCCTAGGAACTCTAAACAAAATGGAAGAGAGCATATCCAAAAACCTACGCAACGCTGTTAGTTTCATTATTTTATGTTTAATCTTGCTGGGAAAGACACAGGACGTACATTTTGGGGATTCTGTGCACGTACTCGAGCGAAGTATTTGGACTTTTGGTTTTATTTCGCTGCGTAACATATCCAATATTCTAGGTATTTCAGTAATTTGATAATTGATACTTCAAAATAAATTTATTAAAAGTACCTACAAGGTATTTCAACATTGTGGTAAACACTACTTTAGTGCACTTGTAGGTATAGATTGAAAAACATTGCGCAATTTTTGGCGCGGTTCGCAATGTTTGTGGGTGGCAGACAAGTGAAAAAGAAACCATTTATATGCATGACGCATGAACTCTCCACTCAAACACCAAAATAACTGCCGAGTTTATTAATACCAAATTTAAGTCAATTTTTATTTTAGGAACAAATAAGAACATCAATAAACAGCCTTAAACGTAAAACGATAAGATAACAGCACAATAATTAATTAATTTCTCCCATTAGACCCATTTGACCATTAATTTTGCCTTTGATACTAGTTGGCTCTGGTGTTCTCTTTCTAGCTTGATCGTAGGGCAATTGAGAACTTCATATGGTTTGATTTCAACTGCTACTTAGTCACAAATAAAGGCATGTCAGAACAAAAACACAACGGTAACATTTGTAAGTTTTGAAAAAAGATTTTAATTTGTTAAAACGACAAACATTCGGAAAGTACGAGTATGTAGCATCATGTAGTAATTCTTGCACAGGGTATATGCTCTTTGTGGCAACTGCCAAACAGGCAATCTGACCAGAACAATTAATATTGAAACCTCATTATTAACCCATAGTGCCAAGAGTCGACACTCATTTATTTATCTCAGGTGTTAATAATGCAAGAAGCAAATGTAGTAATAAAGAATGGAATCCTATCTAGTTTTTTTCCGATTTTCCGCTTCTACGAAAGTAAAAGTCGAATAATTAAAAAATAGTCTCGGGATTGACGTTGTTTTTTTAACTTTACACAGCAAGTTGCACATCTTTTGGAACAGGGCCGACTTTAGGTGTAAGCGATGTAACCCGCCGCTTACGCCGCAGACAAGAAGGGGCGCAAAGTTTAATGACTGACGGACCAAGGACGTAAAAATCCGTACACGAGAGGCATCTTCGTAAATAGCAGACGCGTTATCCCTTCGGAAAACTCTGTAGCATTTTTGTATAACTTTGCTTTTCAAAAGAATGTGAGAACACAATTTTAAACCCACAAAATAACCTAATGTTCAACCCCGGAACAATTGGAATTAGCGGGACTGATAAGCGGTATGAAGTTCGCCCGGTCTGCTTGTTATAAATGTTTTAAATATGAACAAGCTGTTAATTATTGTCATGCAGATATTTCAGGGGGTGGTAGTACTCGTCAAAATAAGAAAAAAAATGCAAATATATGCATCGTCTAAAACGCGTCGTTTTCGTTATACAGGGTGGCAAAGAAAATGTAATACCCACTCTGTATACCGCGACCAATTATTTTGATACTTGTAGAGATTCTAAAAAATAATTGATGTATCAAATGTGAAACAATACAAAATACAAAATACGAGAAAACAAGTTGTAAATCAGCGTATGCATGATTAAAGCGCATTTTTGGTAATACAGGTCAGTATTTTATTAGGGAAGTTTAAAATTATCGATCTCACGAGTAATTTTGGCGGCGTTAAACAATTAATTTTGTTTAATTTCAATTGAGGGTACGTCTTTAATTTGTAAAACAAATCACAAAGTAAATAATTAAGTTTTTTTATACTGGTAGCGCTATCTAACGGTAAAATTATAGCACCTCCGAAAACCATATCGAAATTATTACCTTAAATTATCGATCTCACAAGTAATCTAACTCAAAATAGAGCCTGCACATCTACACTAGAGCAATAAGTTTTAGTGAAAATTTGAAGTCTCTAGCTATTGTAGTTGCTGAGATCTCACCCGGACAGCCAGCCAGCCAGCCATAACGAATATAATAGCGTATTTTTTTTTTCAAAAATGCGCTAAAAATTGAAACTTTGCCACCATGTATAACGAAAATGAAGCTCTTTAGACCACGCACATTTTTGCATTTTTGTCTTATTTTGATGAGTGTTATCACCCCCTGAAATATCTGCATGACATTAATTAAAACCCTGTATTTTTAAAAACATGCTTGTCAAAAGTTCCCATTATTCAGGCTATAGCGAGGCAGGCAGAGGCGCAAATTTGAGTGCTAGCTTACATGTAACCATAGTATTATGATGTAACTTTTGCCTTGAGTCGGCCCTGTTTTGGAAAAGCACCTGAATTTTCAGTTTTTGAATATCGAGCGATTGGACGTTTTAGTTAGAGAATTTTTGAGTTCAAGTTCTCTATCGAAATGATATTAATTTTTTTCTGGCTTCGTAATTTATACCTACATCAGTACAAACAATAGTTCAGCTGATCTGATAGTATAATCATTCATTCGCTATTATATCACAACAAATCTAGGTTGGTTGTACTACAGATGTAGGTAAATATAATAATATAAATATATACTAGTGGCTGTAACTATATGAATAACGTGACGTATATTTGTTCAATGGATAACAAAACTAAACTAGCTATAAATAGCGAACCATTCGCGCAGCTACCTTCGATAATTTAGTTAAAATAAATCATTCCTCATAACTTTTATTGATTCTTAGAGAATTGCGTGTTGTACGCATTTCTATTTCATCACAATTTATGACAGGCCATTACTTCCTACGAAAATTCGCTTAACTCAGATTAGAACAAAACGTTCTCACTGCTTTCACACATGTCGCTATGTATTGAGTGCTGCCTAAATATCTAATTATCTAAAGCAAGAAACTGATCGATAATGCTGCTCTAGAAAACGATGCTAATTTTTAGGACATTTCATTAAAGAATTTAAATATGGCATTGTTCATCCCATTTGTGCCACTTTGAACTACTTTTAGGGGAGGCATCCTGGAGTCCTGAACTTTTTTGCATAAGGTATCCT